AAAAGTCCTAGCTTTTTTTCCTCTTTGAAATTTCAGCAAAATTCATGTTCTATTTGTGGCACTTTACAGTGAAAATTTTGCTGAATTTACCTCCCCCCCCCAACCACCGAAAAACCAACAACATTCTAGGTATTAAACTTTTTCATTTGACATGTGATTCTTGATTATACGTCTGATAAGGGAGACCCAAAATTTAGTACATTACAAATTTATTTGACAATTTATGACATATGAATTAAAAGTCAAACAGTGATTTCTACCCTTGTGCAGAAAAGTGTGATTTAATTTGCTCTCAGATTTGAGAATTATTCAATGTGTTCAAAGAAGGTCTCTCTTTCTTTCAGTTTCTTCTATGTTAAGTATCATATATACAAACATTTTTACCATCTAATATTATAAAAAATTGGTACTGTTCTGTTATCAGGTCCGAGTCCAGAAATATATGTATGTATGCATGTATGTGAGGATGTATATCTTCATAAATGCATGTATATAGGTACATACATATGTGTGTGTACATACACATATATGCACATACATACAGACACTTCTGAATCTGGTCCTGATAACAGAAGAGTACCAAAAAGTTTAAAGTGATTTGCGATACCTTCTTGCATAGAATAGAATATTTGCAAATTTGTATATTAGCTTAAAATTCTCATTTTTAAATAACATATTTGCCAACATATAAACATGCAAAAATCATGAGAATTTTCTTAATATAATTTTTTTTTAATTATAAAAATACATAGAAAGAAAAATGTACTTTTTAATAATGAATTAACTTTCAATAATAATTAATCAATATCTGAAAGCTCAGTTACTAATTCTTAAATGCAAATAGTTCACAAATATATATATATATATATATATATTAAAAAATATTTGCACCTTTTAATAAGAAAATAATGCTTTAATCAGTTTTGAATAAATGGTGAAAACAGGGGGAAAATTTGCTTTCATTAAGAAACTTTGTAATTTTGTTCACAGCAACTGCCACATAGGTTTGCTTTTGCTAATTAAAGTTTTTCTAATGTGTCATTACTAACTTAGTCCTTGTTTTAGTAACAACGTTGAAAATTCCTTTGCACACTGCATTACTATGAGGAATTGTCAGGATGGGAAGCATTATTCTAGACAGTTCATTGTACATAATACCATCAACATCTTTCAGTTTTCCAATTAAACTCCACTAGGTGTCTATCCTTCTAAGATTTAGAATTTTATCTAAGTTTTCTTATTGTAAAATGCAAAATTGAGACTGCAATTGATCAGCTGCAACATCAATATCATTGTCTTTCAAAACTAAATGAAGTAAAACTGGAAATCTATTCCCCCCCAAAAAAAATTATACTGGAAAAAAATGCATTTGCTAAAGCAGAAATATCTGCAACTTTAGCATGTAAAATTACTTCACTGTTGATCGGAAATTTACGTAGTATATTACAACATACTTGGCAGAAGTCGTTTCTAACTTGGAAATAAAACTTACTTTTGTCTTCACCTCAAAGTTCTTACACTACTTTCTTAGTTGCAGCTCCTATTACCAAATCTTCATCTTTCTTCAGATTTTCTGTTTTACCATAAATCACCTGATATATAGAATTAGAAGACAAAATAAAGGTTTGTTTTGGAAACTTTGATAAAATGTTACTAATCACTGACTTCGAAACACGAATTAATGGAACTCTGCACTGTAGAAGTGTTAGGAATATTGAATGATGGAAAAATGGAGCATACAAAAAAGCAAAAAGTTTTGTTGAGATATGAAGATGAAAACAGAAATATTCGTAACAGTGGTGTTGCCCTTACCGAACAATTTTTTAAAAAAATTTTACCTTGAGAGAGTTCTGTATGAGCTTTATGCTTATATTTTGTAGCATTATTTTGAGAATTGGCAATTGAATTGCTCACAGATGCAGAAATTACTTTATTTTTCTCACACCTATTTTAACAGTAGAAGTAGTAACTGCGCCATTTACTTGAAGTATTTTATTACTTTCAATACAGCCTTTTATCTTAACTCTAGAAGCATTTACTTCTTCCTTGAAAAATGTAAGAAGTGGGTGGTCAAGGATTCCTAGATAAACACTTCTCTCAAGATAACCAACATGTACCTACATGTTTCATTCATTATTATGCAGCTGTTGCAATTGTTTCAATTATTCCTTCCCTTTAAAACACTTTTCAAGATAATAGTAAATATCAACAATGTATACATTTACCGGCAAAGAAGCTACCCCTCTTTTCAGCTGCTAAATATAACAGGTGACATGTGCACCCCATAATTTGCAAATACGAATTTTCTTTCTTTAAGATACCTGTCTTCAACACCAGTCTTCAAGTTTCCTATTATTACTGGTGCGTTGGTGGCATCAAATGCTAAGCAATTATCCAGAGGAATTACATTTTCTTTTAAAGTTTTAATAATTAGCTGTGCTACATAAAAGTCAGTTAAATCTTCTTCTAAAATGGAACAGAAAGTAAACTATACTTAGCTTCTGAACTCTGGATCCAAAAAAAAAAAAAAAAAAAAAAAAAAAAACAAGAATTGGATACAGTTTTGCATCTGTATTATTGCTTCTTCTATGTTTCCATTGACAAGCAGAATGAAGATATTTTAAAGTAATCAATAACTGAAGATTTATTTTTCATACCCATTTCTTTAACAATTGCAGCTATTTTTGTCCTTGCACTTGAGTATTTCTTAGCGATTTCGCTATTGAAAAACATTTCTTCTAAATAAAGCAGTAGCATGATCCAATATATGCGTGACAGGCTGTGCTCCAGTAAAAACACAGAGAACAGGCATTGAAAACAGAAAGAACAGGCATTGGACTTTTTGGTCCTTTGTTTTGATAGAAAATACAACTTGTTGTTTTCAATACAACTCATGGTTTCCTTGTGTTTTTATGTAAGCATATGCTTAAGAACATCCAGCCTTCCACTGTGCAAAACAATGATAAATGGTACATATTGCAAATATATTACATTTCCTTAGTAAATAATAGAAGGAAAGTCATCCGTATACAACTTTGGAAAAGTCTTTGAATGAGTATTTTACCTTTTTCACAAATATAACTATGATAAACGATCATAATTTTTTAAACTATTTCTCAACAGCACGTGAAACACACAGCACTTGGTGACAAGACACCTGAAATAACCCCTTCAATCCTGCTTTATGTTCATTGGCTAATACACCGCCGAACAAAGAAAATGCATCATTAAAGATTGGGTAGAATGTGATGCCAATTGATGCAGAGACACAGCACGCATGTGTACATAACTGATGTTATTTATAGAAAGGTATGGTATGATATTACATATAGTGCTGAAATACATAAGAAATCACTCAGATATACAATGACCTCTGATGGCGAAGCAAGCTGCAACCCCTACAAGGTACAGATTCAATTAATGTGTGGACAATAATCTGAGCGACTGAAACCCAAATGCCCTGAACACTCCTCGAAAGTTCATTCTCCAATAACAGCTGAGGCAGAGCAGACTAACAACAATAAATCATGTCTCAGGTATGCTTGATTGGCAAAAGATCAAGGGGCAGGCCAAGGAAAAAATGGGACTTGCTACAAGGCTTGTCGATTAATGAATGCCATGTGCAGTATCGTGTTGTCCTGCTGAAAAATATCATTTTGCAGTTGCTGAAGGTAAGGGAGCACAATTAGCTGCAGCACCTGGTCAAAGCATTGTTTTACCTTCAATGCGCCTCTTATGTGTAAGAGAGGTAACTTGTATCATGACTGATGGCATTCAAACTATTATGCAATGCTGACTTGGTGTGGCTTTCAGCAATAGTAGTGGGATTGGCTCTATCTCTCCAGTGCCTCCAGACTCTTAACTGGTAAATACTATCAATCAAGCAAAACCGAGACTTGTCAGTGAATACCACATTATGCCATTCATATGTTCCAAGTGGCTCACTGAGGACAACATTGCAGTAGCTTATGTCTGTGTTTTGGTATTAATAGTAGTCTTCATACAGGGAAGCTTGTATGCAAGCTGTTTTCAGCCAAATGTCAGAAAACTGTTCTACCAGGTATTAGAGCATTTAAAGCTCCCAAAACATTCTGTAAAATATATCCATCGTAGTTGAGTGTGGGGCTGCCACCGCTTCTCTTTGTATGTGTTGATCTGTGCATTCTGTAATACGTCTCAATGGGCCTGATCTTTTGCAACTATTTACGTTTCCTTCATTGACCTATCGAGACCAAATTCTGTGCACAGTGGATATATCTATGTGTATTTCAGCAGTGATATGATAGTAAGACCAACTAGCAGTACATAAGCCTACAATTTGTTTCCTCATAAATTCATCTGTTTCCTGGAACTGCCTATGTTCTCTTTGTCCAGCTATCTCTTCATTCACATGTCTTCTGGAATGTTGAATTTCTTGAAATTCTGGATTCCCTAAGCAGCAGAGAATAGTGACTATTGGTTTGTCTGCCATTTCCTTCCATTATATCTTGTGCTATAATTGCGTGACCAATCTGCATCTTACATCATCTACATGAATTATTTTACTACATATTCCTCCAAATCTGCATATTTATATGGCCAAATCTTCATGATGTTGCACTTTCTATGTCAGACAGTGTATAGGCCAGATGACCTGCAGCGGTGCTTGATGTTGATTGCAGAACTGGAACTGGATGCCTTTGGACGTGTGTTCTTACACATATAGAGAAGTGTGTCATATTATCTCACTGATGGAATGACTTTGGTTTTCTTTTGTATGTAATCTAGAGAAAAACTAAGCAATTTCAGATGCCCCTTTTTGGGGGGTGCAAGTAAAGCCAAGCTACATAAAAATTGTGAGGAATTTTCATAAATATGTTATAAATCAGGTTGGTGGGAGAACAGTCAGAAACTGGGACAGGTGGCAACTCTTAAAACCAATATTTAATAAAATAGGATCAGCATAAAATAATAAAAATGATATATATATTTGCTAATTTTAATTTAATAAAGGAAATTACCATCATAATTACTCGTATGATCTTCCAGTGGACGGCACGAAAACGGAAAATAGTCAGAATTCCATATTTCTGAAAAACAGTATTTCACACGTTTTATACATACATTATCAATAATATGTCATAAGCTAGAATAAAGTTAAATGTAAGAATTTAACCAAACCACATACCGTTTCCAATAATGCCATGGACATATATTCTATTATAATGCTCTTCAACTTCTGCAAGAAAAATGATTCATATATTCGTTTACACCATTCAGTTTTATAAAAGATAAAAATAAATTGCAATAAAAGCAACTGTACCTTCAAGAGCAAATTCTTTCCCAGTCTTCTCTGATAGACTTTCAGCAATAGTTTCCCTACATTATATGGAACATAAAATTTTTTTAACAATGACTAAAGTTAAGAAGTTTCATTTCAAATATTTAATTATCATGTTAGTTTGTAAAACAATACTTCAAAGCATAATACAACTAACTACTTTTCACTTTGCCATAAAAATATCTAAATTTAAGTTTCTAGTAAATTATTATTTGAAGGTAATGCAGAAGGCTTATGCAAACCAGTGATACATTACAATGAATAACAAAATAGTATTATCAACAGACTATTGAAGAAAAATTAAATCCTTATAATACTTGGAAGCAACAGAATGTGAAGCTTTGGTAATACTTTGAAATAATTGTACTACTTACATACTTGAAGTTCTGTTGGAAACAATAGAATGTGAAGCTTAGGTAATTACTTTGAAATAACGTTACTTGAAATTATACTTTATAAATGCATTTAACTAAATGTATTATAAAATTGCAGATTTGAATAAATGAAAGAATTATCTATGTAACTAATTTCCCTTCTATAGTATCATACTAAGAATAAAGCAGAAATGTATGTAGGATGTGTTATTATTAAATATAATCCAGTATTTAATATAACAATGAAACAAATCTCTAAAAATTATCAATTTATTAACCTTAAGTCAAGAATAAAGTTTTTACAATACTCATATATTATGCTTATAAATATTACATATATTTTAAGCATTTGTACGGATTACCATTGAAAAAGCTTAAAAGTCATGGTAATGAGGCATAAATACAGCTTAAGTGGATCAGAGGGCCTTGAGACTCCAAGGAATGAAGTCTGACTTTGCCTGCTATGCTTTAGCTGAGTATACTGGAATAGCTTTCATGCCTATGGTGACTCTACCAGAAGCCAGGGGACTTTTAAATCCATCACGGTTTGTTGCCATCATGGTTATTAATCTTTTTGGAAAAGAAACTTAATTATATGAAATATCTTAAATATCTTGGATTAATCCTAAACAAGGAAATTCTCAGTCATGCTCACATTGCTAATTTGACCATTATATGAGTTTTAAACCAAGGAGTTATATTTTAGATGATGAAGAGTTGCATACTGATATCTAATTGATTAAAAATATGCAACATCCAACTCATTACCAAATGAATAAGAAAAATGTTTTTCTTTCTTTGGTAGAAAAGTTGTTTTAAACATTTCACTGCTCCAATTAATTATCTGCATGACAAAAGTCTTTGGGAATACTGTTGACTTTATAGAAAGATGCAAAGCACTTTGAAGGGGGGGGGGAATCAGACTTCCTTAAATGCATCTTTTCTTGCATAACACCAACAGCAATCATAGGTTGAATTTCATCTAGAGTTCAGACTGTCATGCTTCTGTTTAATTTTTTATTAGATAACATATTTGCGTCTTTTCTTCTGTATAATTTCTATTTACGCTTCTGATATAAAGATACCTCTTTTAGCATGTCTTTTACAAAGAATTATGACATGTTAAATAAACAATTTTTTTTTGTTTTATTCCACTTTGATGAATTCAGTTTATTCGGGTGCAACATAAGGAGAACACAAACCTCACAATATAATCTAAAGATCAACTTTTGCTTAGTTACATGCATAATTAGCCATACAAATTTTTCAATCTTCCTTCATATTTTCATGAAAATTAAAGATTGATTTTTTTTTTCTTTTATAAAAGGAACGATTAAACCAATTGCAGCATAATTTTCTAATCTTATATATTATATATATATATATATATATATATATATATATCAAATATATTTATTTGCATAGTTTTAATCGTAAAACAAATAATATAGGTCTTTACCAATTTCCATGGCCATTTGTTTCAATTGCATTCAGCAACAGCAATTCTTCTCTTCCACCCCATTTAAGATCAACATTCTGGAAAATTGGTTTATTTTCACTTGCCTATAATACAATTTTCAAATTTTATATCAAAATAAAGTTAAAAATAAAGCAAAATACACATTCTCAATGGCAATCAATTATGAGCTTACCATTTTATAAAATAAATCCTAGTAATGTATATTCAGCAGCTTCTTAAATAACATTCTGTGTGAAGAAGAAACAATTATATAACAAAAAATGCATGATAAAAAATTATGCAACACATAGGCACACAATTCATTCTCTAGCTTCAAGTGATTCACTATAAGAAATAGTATTTAATGATAAAAAATATAACAAAAGTGGCAAGAAAATTCTTAATTTCAGTACTCTTTCGCATTTAACAAATGGGAAATAGGTCACCAAGCAAAAATATTATTCAAGAACTTTTTTGGAAAGTGTTTTAAACAGGAAACCAAGTAAGATTCTTAGATACTCTAAGAACAAAATTTTCCATTTACAACAAAAATTAGTACTTTTAATGAAGCACAGAATAATTTCATGATATTTTAAAGCCAACGTGTCAAACTCAGTGCCTGAATTAATTCAAATCCTCAACAGTGTACTAAAGTGTAGGCCAAACACACACACACACGCGCGCGCACAAAAAAAAAAAAAAAAAAAAAAAAAAAATAGAAGGAACTTAATGAAATCCTGATAGTAGTATTATTCTTCCTTAACTCCAAGCAACTCTCTTGCCACTAAATTTTGCATGTCTGGCGATATGCTGCTTGCACATTTTCAGAATGAGTTAAATGTACTCTTATGTTGGTTAACCTGGATTTCACTGGGGACTTATTTCTCTTTATAAGCATGAAAAGTTCTTCAAATTGATATGTACTACCCAAACATGAAAATCACATATGATACAAATGTGTGGCTTTTTAGGAACTGTGCTGGGAAGCATTCATAAAATTCAGGGATAGCCATGTTACTGAATTTTTGTTTTAGAGTTAGTTCACTTGCACAAAATTTCCGTTAATTTCACCTCTAAATAAGCTAACATATACCCAAATACCAGTTAAAAAATTATTTTTGTAAAAACACCAACTCATGAGTCCATTTTAGTACCCAAGCATACACCTTAATATGGAATGGAATTCCAATTTTTTTCTAACATATTGCATCTATGCACTTTTTATGACTTCCTCAGGATCAAATAAGAACCACAAGTTTGACATGTCTGCTTTAAAACAAGGGATATGATATACAACCAGATACCCAATGGTAAAAGGATATATGCCTTGTTGAATGGCCATTTTCCAGATCAATGAATTGCATTTACACTAACCCTCAAAATGTTCAAATCCAGCTGTTTCCAAGAATCTGAATGTATTATAAATCTGTCATTTTAATCATTACTAAAGGAAAAAAGTTACGTATATTGATAAATACAGGGTGTGGCAGGAAACGGGCGAATATGAAAAAAGTTTTTCTTTGCTTATACAAATGTATTTACCATTTTGTGGATACACGCACATAAACTATATGAAATGCCATTGGTGAAAATGTTTTTGTTTTAAAAAAGCAGCTGTTCAAAATGCAATTTCTATGTGCTAAAATTCACGTTTTTTAAATGCGCTCCATTTCATCTGAAGCACTCATGGCATCTTGCTTCAACATTATGCATTGCACTTCAGAGCATATCTCCAGGAATACAGGCAACCTCTTCACAAATAGCTGTTCTAAGTTCATCTAGATCTTTGGGATGTTTGGAAAACACTTTGGTTTAGAGATATCCCCAGAGGAAGAAGTCAGCCTGAGGAAAATTTCAAAATCATGAATTTATTTGGAGGAAATGGCCACAATGGGTTGTAGACAAAGATTGAGCACTTTTGGATAGAACTTTGTTATCAATGGTGTTCCGTACCTATGATCTTGTCTAAAAAACCACACATAAGGAATATTAACAATGAAGAATGGTGAAATTACTAGAGGGCCATAAAATTGATTTCAACAAAAAAAGAAGTACAACTTCAAAAGCAGCAACAAAAGACAACTGGAATAAACGTCTTCAGAAAAGGATGATGATAAAAGAAGACGCACTTGGAAGAACACCTTTGCAAAATTTTCAAATATGCTATACTTAGAATGAAACCACACCCACTAAAAAATGTTAAGAATAGTTCTGGTGAGTTATTCAAATCTCACAGCTGAATGCCTGTTTTACATAATGAAGCTAGAGTCGTGTAGTTTGATATACAGTCAAAAGTCGTTAATCCGGACTCATCGGGACTTCGGCGATTCCGGATTATCGATTTTCCTGGATTATAGATCATCAGTTTAAATCTGGTAAGATGGCATGCAGAAATTATAAAATTAAAAATATGAAACCTTAATTTATGAAATAAAGAACAATTTTGATCTAAAGGGTATCAAAATTTGCAAAAAGAAAAAGCTTAATATTTATTTGTTTACTTTATTAAACATTTCTTTCAATGTAAGTTGTTTAAGTTGCTTCGTTTCATGTGATAATACTTTCTCTTTAATTCTATTAAACAGACATAATTTCTTTTTTAGTTACAAAGTTCCGCTGTTCAAGTCCTATAATTGTTGTGTCAAGAATACCGAATAATTTGTCAATGAAATTTTTTTGTTTTCAATAACCTCTGCATCACTTTCTTCACTATCGGAAGCGAATTATAATGACGAGGAACTTGATTTAAATCATATCAAAGACGGAGTACACATCGAGATGAAATATTACATTTGGTAAGGAATTATAAACCAAATAAAATAAAAACATCCTGCCTTGAAGATAAGGATAGTGCTGACAGATCAACTTTCAATTCAATTGCGCGCCGCGGCGTCTTCCCCCCCCCACACGCTGCATAGGAGCGTGAAATTGATAAACAGATTTCGGAATGGTTAGAGTAATCAAAGGATATGCCTTCATCCATTTTTGCAGCAATTCCACTTTTTGTTTAATGGACTTCCGAAACATACTTTCGCTTTGTAGATCCTTTACATATTAGTAAATATATATCGGATATTCTATTTGACATAATCGAAAATTCAAGCTTACTTTTATAAAATTGCTCTAACAGTCTGCGAAAAAATAATAAGCCGAATCCAATTCGAAGATTAAGGAACAACGCAATCTGCAACTTTAACCGAAATAGATAATTTTAGCTTAGGTTATACTGTCCATTATACATTAAATGCGCATGCGTAAACGTTTTATGCGCACACGCATATTCGCAGCCGTAAAGGGTTACGCGCACACGTAAATGCAACACGCATGTGCAGAAAGTTTGTAGCTTTGAGGTTCGGATTATAGATCATTCCGGATTATGGGTGTCCGAATTAACGACTTTTGACTGTATATCCTTATTTGTAATATAAACATAAATACATGGCTGAGTATGTGCAAGAGACAGATTCCAGGATAGTTAAATATCCTGGTTCACTGTCCCAAACTAGTGTTCAGGGATTGTCAGTCTGTCCCGTTTCTTTCTTGAAACAAAATTTTTGAGATGGAATAGGAAGCAACATAGGTCTTTCCTTTCCAGTTTTGTGCTGGAAAGTTTTCTGTACCATTGTTGTGAAACTACTTTGTTTACACCTCTATTTGTCCCTCTGCAAGAATGTTTCCCTGTGCATGGGTGCTGATCTCCGATATTCATCTGGTGACAGTTTGTCTCTCCCAGACAGGAATTTAGATGGACTCTATTATTATGAAGAGTAGTTGTGGGTTGAATGTCATTGTGAATATGTAAATGACATTTTAATTTGTATTTATTAGTGACAGTCCTTGCGCATGCTGGCCTTGGTTTTTATGCCCTTCAAAATTCAGAAGTAATAATGTCCTGCATATCATATGAATATCCCAACATTCCAGGAGAGTTCTATAATCTTCCAGCCATAAAGTACAGTATACATGGAATATCATGATGTCTTCCTGTTTTTTCTCATATGCGAGAAATATTTCCAGAATATTCAAGAGATAACTCTCAAATGTTCTTGAAATGCTATAGAAATTCAGGTTATTAACAAAAAGCAAATTTGTTAACCTTGACAATATTTAAAAATTCCTGGGCTTGTATTTAAAAAAAAAAAATAATAACCACAATTTTTTCAGGGCTTAATTTGCTTTTTAAGAATATATGGAAGACTTCTCAATGCAGAAGAATATTCGCATAAAATATGGCTGAAACATTCCAAGCATATTTTTTTCAGTAGTTTAAGAAGAATGCTCCAAATTAATGCTGCTTAGAACATTCCTCAAAAATTATAAATATTTCCTGAGACACATGCAGAATATTTCAAATCAATTGCAAATGTTCTGCGATTGTTGTGGGTTGATACAAAATTAAATGGAATATTTTTAACGGTGCAGAACCAAAATACAGAGCGTTTCTAAAAGAATCCTTAAATTTGAATGTATATTTTGAAAAATATTGAACAGAGAAACTTAAGATTAATTTCATCAGTAAGTTTTTTTTACAAGCCAAATTAAAGGTGCTTAATATGTTCAAAGCTAGAAGTGGAAGCACCTAAGTACAGTCTTTTATAAATCCCCATAAAAAGAAATCGCACACTGAGAAGTGCGGCGATCTTGAAGGCCAGTGATGTTTAACCGAATCCCCAGATCTCAAATGGCCAATTCATCATTGGGGAATGCGAATTACGTTAAAAAATTGTCAATCTTGTAACACATTTTGAAGGATGAATTCCCAAATCTCCCCGTCATTCTTTGCCACCTGCATGAAGAGTTTGCAACATTTCAATTCTGTATGTTTTAACCGCTTTCTTTATAAATTTTTTTTGAAAAAATTGCAAAAAATCATCACATTTTTTAAATTTTATTATTAAATATAAACAAAACAAAATATATAGGTTTTAAGTAGAATTTTTAATTTTTTACAGGTGTAAAAGCATTGAGTTTTAATATTAGTTTACTATCCCGAGTTATCTCGGGCAAATAAAAAAAAATCAAATATTAGTCGTTGTATGAGAGTTTTTGAAACAAGGGACAACACAAAGTGATACCTGACATTCTATACATTGGTATCTGGTCTCTTTTCTTACTGGCTTACCTCTGGAATCTCTTTTACGGGAACACAGAGAACACTGTCTCATTGGATTTTTTTTTTTTCAATAGAAGGAATAACATCTGGAAATTGTCTTGAGGTTATAATCACTATCTGAAAAATCATCGCTTTTGCTATCTTG